GAATCACTTGAACCTGCGATGCAGAGGTTGTAATGAGGCAAGATCATGCCACTGCACTCCAGCCTGGGAGACAGGAGTAAAACATGTCTCAAAAAATAATACATAAATAAAATGAAAACATAAAATTTTTTATATTCTTCCAGAGACCGCTAAGAACTCTCCTCCCCACCATGTATCTGTGGTTCCACATTTGGGAAGCACTAAACCCGTACAGTTGGGTGCGGATTCTTTTACCTGATTAGTATTTTCATCCACCATCAGAGCAGGGCTCAGAGAGAAGGCGAAGGAGGTGACAAGCACTCCAGGACTGGTGACACAGCGATGCGGGATGGGTTCCAGAGGAGGAGATGAGGAGGCCCTGTGGCGCAGGGTGGCAGGAGCCTAGCACACTGTGGAAAGAGGTGGCCTCAGATGAAGCCAGGGGACCAGAGAGGCATCACGGCCATCCTGTCCTGGTCCCGGGAAGGCCAGAGCACCGGGCATTAGCGGGCTCTCGCTGAGGATGCAGATAGCCTTGAGGGCCACAGGGATGAGGGTTCACCCTACTCGGTGCTAGCGCGTGCCACACTCTGTTCTCATCAGGAAATTGACGCAGTTCCCCGGGGTTTCAAGTGCCGACGCTGAGGCCCTCTAAGGTTAACCACCCGGGCTGGGTCACAGCAGCCAGGGACGCTGCCTGATTTGAAGGTGAGCTACCTCTAGAGCCCATGCTCAGCCTGTCTGCAGAGAGGGCCGTGGGTCTCCACGCTGGGCCTCGAGTCCCTCCTGCGTGAGCTGCTCTGCCCCCAACTCTGCTGCTGCTGCCACCCAGACCTTCCCAGCTCCTTTCCTCTCCCCAGTACGGAGAGCCTGGGCCTGATCCGAGGCAGCTGGGGCCATAACCCCTGAGTCATCTAGATGCTCAAATACTGAAATAACACCAGGATGGTAACAAATGCCCTGAAGCCCCATCAACACTCCAGCTCAGCTCCCTGAAGGTCCTCCGGCTCTTCCCACAGTCCAGCAGATAAAGGGTTCATGTCAGGCCCAGCAGGGAATCTTAGGAAGCCGCTCAAAGCTGGGGCCTGGCTCCTGTCTGCTTTCAATATCCCCCCGGTCTAGGAGGCCTGGGGAGTAGGGACATGAAGTCTGGCTGAACTCCCAGCCTGCTCAGCCCCCAGGGAAGGTGGCACCCCCTTTGGCCCCGCAAGAGAGGGCACCCAGAGCAGCAGCTGCCTCCAGACCACTGTTCAGCCAGGGACCAGGGCACCCAGGGACAATGAGGGACGAGCCTAGAGGACCCGGCACTGTCTTCACCCTCAAACATATTCCCAGCCCCTGTACCTGTGGAGGCAGGAGGCCGAGCGAGAGAGGAGCAGAATCTGGTCCTCCTGAGGGAGTCTTGGTCAGTTGCGGCCCCCAGAATGAGCCAGGAGCTCTGACGCTGTCTGCGGGCACAGGGAAGACTCCAGCAGGAATGGAGGCAGAACAGTAGAGCCACAGATGGCTGAAATGGATTCTTGAAGACCACCAGGTGTTCTGCAGGAAGGTGGAGGTGATGGAGGAGGGAGAAAGGGGCCACAGCTGGGAGGCAGAGCTGATCTTCTCCACCTGAGGCTGAGAGAGCAGCTGGGGCTGGCTGCAGTCAGGGAACTGAAGAAGGTTGGAGTGGCCTGCAGGGGCAGGTTACGGAGGGCCCAGACCCAAACCGGGGCCCTAGGACATTAAGGTGAAGGTCACCAAGAGCAGCTGGGTGATGACGGGGTCTTTGTGGTTCAGAACGGTCCCTATACAAGTCCTCTCGCAGGTGGGAGGGAGGACAGGCTGCACTGAGGAGCAGAACCCTATGCATCCCTGCGCAAAATCTGGAGGCAGAAATGAAGGAGGCTGGGCCAGAGCCAGCAGCACCATCGCCTCCTGTCCCCTGCTTAGGGAGGGTGGGGGGCTGCCTCTCCCTGCAGCCTCTGCCTCTCTCCTCCCCGCCCCGCTTCTTTCAGAGATCACATGTGACTTCACATCTCCTGGGGTGTGGAGGGCTCTTGTGGGCTCCAAGGGTAGGGGCCCACTGGGGCCAGGGAGTGGCCCGGAACCATCCCTGGGTTGAGTTTAGGTGTTGGGTGCTGGGCAGGCTGACTTTTATGGAACCACATCTGCTCAGGGGCCCTTGGTCTTGGCTTCAGAGAGTGGGAGCTGGTTCCAAAACACAGTGCGGGCCCCAGTGCCACCCTCACATCATGACAGCTGCCCAGCCCACCCAGTGTGCATCTTGGGGACCTCTCGTCCCCGCCCAGCCTGGCGAGGAGCTGTTAGTATCTGTTTGTAGTTGAGGCTTGGGGAGAGGGAGAAAAGGCGCCCGAGAACACCAGCTGGGAAGGGACAGAACCAAGGTTCAAATCCAAGTCTGTGCGGCCATGCCCGGCACCCTCCCGCCGGTCCACGGGCCATCCTGACCACCCATCCTCATTGCCAGGGCTCGGCCGTCTGAAGAGGGGTTGCAGTTTGCCCAGATCCGGGATTTTCACGACCCCATCCCTCTCCATCTCGCTCTTTTCTCCCTGGCACTCATGGGATGTTTGTCCTCTGTTTCTGTAGGGCCTGCCCCCCTTACTCCAGCTAGAGTATCAACTCCAAGGCGACAGGGGTCTTATCCTCCTGGTTCACTGCACGGGTCCAGTTCCTGGAGCAGAGCTAGCCCAAAGGAGGGTAGTGATACCTGGGTCAAGGAAAACGTCCTCTCCCATAACTGCCTGCTTCCAGCAATGTCTCCCCCATGAGACTGTGAGCCCCTCCAGACAGTTCCAGTACCTACTGGGTCTTCCTGCTGGGGCTTAGTCTCGCCACAGAGCAAGCTGTGGCTTTCCACAAGGTAGCTCTCTTGTCACACAGGCTCTGGAGTACTGAGCCCAATGCTGAGGTACTGAGTATTGGAGGTACCGGGCCCAATGCTGAGCCGGGCCTGCCCTCCAGGCTGGGCAATTCTGTCCTTGGCCTCCCTCAGCCCATCCAGCTGCCCTCTGACTCGGCCTTCTCCACGCACTCCCTAGCCAAGGACTGAGTGCTGTCTTCCAGCTAGCCCTTAGAGTTACAACCCTTCTCCTTTTCTACTGTGCACACTCTTACTTAAAAACCACATGAACCCAAGGAGCTGCCCCCTTCATTTGCAAGTGAAGATGCAAGGTGATCACCCAACTGAACACTGGGAGGGACCATGTGGGGGCAGTGCACTTACTCCAGAGGCCCTTTTACAGCCCCCCAGGCCCTGAGGCCACCACGGTACCTGTGGTTAACAGGCGCTGGGTTTTAGCAACAATTCCTTCTTAGGTCACTAAGGAAATTAACAGGTTATGTGTGATGCTCTGTAAGTGGATATTGTTCTGCCCATCTTCAAGGTAAGAAGACTTTAGGTCACGGACTTGCCCATGTTCCCACACAAAGCCAGAGACCAGGAGTCTCAGGGCAAAAACCAGGGGGCCTGACCACATTGTCATCCACCACATCATACGGCCGCAGAACTGACCGGGACATCCCCAAGACGGTGAGCCTGGGGGAGGGTCCTACCAGCAGCAGCAGAGGGGGAGCTCCTCAGCGCCCAGGTTTCTGCAGCAAGGAACTTTCATTCAGTCCAGCTGCGCCTCCTCCTCCTCGTCACCCCCTCGCTGCTCAGAACAAAGTCGAGGTAGGCTGGGAGACCAAATGGGTCCCGTAAGAGATGACGGACAGGACCGGTGCAGGGGCTTGAGTTAAGGCGAAGCCTTATGTCAGAGCACGTGCTCCTTTAAAAGGCACAGGTTGGAATCTGGAGCTGACTCTGGTCTGGCAAACTGCAGGGACTTGGGTTTCAGTAAGTGTCCTTTCTGTTGGCACTAGTTGAAGAAGGCTCACCATGATGTCAGGCCTGCGAGGCCCCACCAGGGAGGAGGAAGAAGGGAGGATCTGGGTGGCCGCTTCCAGTAAAAAACAGGCGTTTTGGCAGCTGGCAGTTTCGAAGGCTTGTTGCTATTGTAAATCATAATAAGCTGATTATTGCAGTACTTGTTCTTAAAGATTCCCCCAATTGTTCCAGCCGAGTCATGAGTTACAACGTGATTGTTAGTTGCTTCTTTATGGGCACGAAGGGCCCTCAGCTTCTCTTCATCTTTTTCAATAACTACGTGAACTAGAAACCCCAGCCTCCCGCTCCAGCGCAGGCCAGGACTGGCAAGGATGGCTGCATCCAAGTCCCCTGGGCTGACAGACAGCAGAGTCACAGGAGTTGACCCTCAGCTCTGAGTAGAAACATGGGCTTATTTGGTATAAAGACTTAAGAGCTTCACAGGGATTTAATTTGGTCTCAGAGTCACCAAAACATGAGTGAAAACTGTGGATCTGGGAAACTTCAAGCCCTATTCAGACAGAGCTCTCCACCCACAGGCTATGCCACCCTTCCTCTGTCTGGGTTGTGCCACAGCTGGGCCTGCCCCGTGCCAGAACGCTAGAGCTAATGTTTGTGTCAGTGTTTCCATTATAAAATACAACCCCCCCACATAACCCATCTGTTAAATTACCCTCAAAGCTACAAGCTTGCAGACACGGTGATTTTATTTCCTTCAGGACAGAGGGGGTGACCCCCCCACCCCAGATCTCCCAGGATCCTCACAGGCAGCACTAACCCAGGGGAATTAACTACGGGTTTCAGCAATTCCAGTCCTCCCTCGAGTGTGGAGCTGTAGGCCACGGCCTGGAGTTGCTCAGCCAGGGAACTGTTAACCTCAGCGACGGCGTGCCCAGGACTAGCTTTGGAAACCCGTGGTGTTAAGCTTTGAATGCAACAATGCCACCCTGCTGGGTAGAGGGAAATGCAGCTTTCTTCACAAGCTGTCAGGAAATCTAGATGTGACGCACGCAGCAACTGAGGAAGGGAGACCAGGCAGTATCTCTAGGCACACAGCTCACACCACAGTGCACTGCAAGGCAATGTGTTAGCCCAATTCTAAAAATCCTCAGTAACACTTTTTAATATACAAGAATCAAAAGTACAGCAGTTTTACAATGTAGGAAAATTTAATACATACTATATAAACATTATTTACATCAGAAATCACTAGGACAGTGGCATTTTTCACAAATATAGATTAATTACTGTTTAGTCAACAGGTTTTAAAAGTCTACTATTTTACAATAAAGAAAAACCATCTGTCCCCTGACAAGTGGGGCCAAGATGGCCTAAGGCAGCCTGGACCATTGGCATGGCTTCCCTCGCCCAATGCAGGCAGCCCTCAGAGGAGCCTGAAGACGCTGGTGCTGGGCTGCTGCTCCTGCTGACAAGTGGATTTTGGTCTGGAGGATTTCAGTGTCATTGTGACTTCCTAGATAAACAGCGTTTGCACTATGAGGACTGAGGCAACCTTCAGACACACCAGGCCAGAATGTCTGCAGCACAGCGTGCAAAGTCTCTGGGTCTCCCTTCGAAGGGCTAAGGAATGACTGAATGGGGAGCGAGCCCCGGGCTCTGCTGGGCACCTGTCTGCCTGGCTCTGAAAGACTGCAGCGATTTTCACCTGGGCCTTCTCTAGGCCACAGTGTATCACGTCAACCCCCATTCACGTGTAAGTTTTAGGGAATGCTAGCTCCCCCTGGTATTTCTATCAATGAAATCTTTCAGAGCCAAGTTCCAAGGAACACCACCCTCACTCACAGACTCCTGGGGCAGCTTCTCCCATACACAAGGGAGAGAATTTACCTGCGCAAAACATGTTTTTCATTTAAGCATATAGTATTCATACTAATTAAATCAATGAAGAAATGCTTCCTTTCTCCCAATGCACTCTTCAAACACACTTTAGCACCTAAAATAGACGTCTAATGGGGACACTGTAATTTTAGAACCAATGTAACACTGATCTGGCCAAGACTGCCTTTTGCTACTTCATATGGCACTAAGAGTCCCGAAAGTGAATGAAAGGAAGGTCTTCCTTCCTCAGGATGAGAAATCTCTGGGCATAACTCACATCTCCTATCAGTGACTTAAGAGAGAAGCCCTGACAAGCATGGAAACCTGATGGAAACACAGGGCCTCTGATGATGCCTTTGCCTCTCCTTTTGTTCCCGGAGGGCACAACCCAACTCTGCAGGGAGTCATCTCCTTCCCACCCCCGCTCCCATCGCTCAAGGGCTTGGCAAGCCAACCTCACCTTCCTCTTTGGCTTAGGCAAGGCAAACACAGGCCAGAGTCAGTATTATAAGCAGGAGGCTCTATCTGTGGTTTCCTTTTCACTGTGTCGCCTGAGTGGGGACACATGCCCTGCCCTCTCCACTGAGCAGTCACAGAGGCCTCCAGGGGAGGACTGTGGCCAGGTGGCTCATGCAGTCGCCAGGGCTTTGCTTCAAGGCAGGTGTGGTACAAGTCTAGGCTGAGCAACCCCAAGAAGTGTGAGGAGTTCACTAAGGGGGTGGGTCCACTGAGCTCTCAACACAAGCATCCAAGACCTAGACCCTCCTCTGGAAACAGCACGAACCAGCCCTGTGATGCTCTGTGTGGTAGGGAGCAAGGGCCACGTCACAGCCACATCTTCTTCATTCGGGGATACAAGTCGGCATGTCTTTGTAAAGGCATTCATGGTGCTGCCCAGGAGCCCAGCATGCACTGAAATCCTCACAAGAGACTTCGGGGGTTTAACCCCGCACATGCCCAGCAGAAGGGTTTTCACAGCTCTGAGCCTGGACATTTACAGGCACACTGAATGTTCAAGTCAGTTATCCTGTCTCCACCTAGAAAGGCCTCTGGATACTCCAACACTGGCAAGCTCTACTGAATAAAACTGCAGGCCCCAGTGTCAGTACATTGAAAAGAGCCTGCTTAACTGATGCAATCAACTTGCTTCCTAAACCTGACTCAATTCAACTCTAGTATGATTCTTGCTATCTCTAGCTCAGTCACTGTCTTTGGATGCCCCCTGTTTCAGGAAGTTTAACTGAGGTTTATACCTGATCACATTCTAAGAGATACTGAATTCAATTCTAATGATCTCCAACTAGCAGGAGAAACTTGTCCACCACATCTGCCCACTACATGACGTGTGAGTCTGTCCAGTACATTTCCTCAAGCTGTGCAAAGGGAGAGGAAATGCAGCCGAGGTGCCGACCTAGCCCAATACTGAAAGTCTCCCCTACTTGGCTGGCACTACTGAACCCCACAGTAGAAGCTGTTCACTGCCTGCACCAGGACCCCCAGCTTTGTGATTGCCAGCAACAAGCGGTCAGTAGGCCTGCCTCTGTGACCTCCTCTCCAGCTCCTGCAGTTTTCCTTCTCACCACAGGAATCAGAAATCCACCAGAGATTCCAGATCCCTGGCCGCACTATTCCCCACGTTGGCTCACCCTACCCCTCACCTGGCCTACTCCCCAGTCAAGTAATACCCACGCTGGCATCAACATTGTCGAACTCGCAGTACTCAAAAGTCAGTTAGAGCAACCTACTTTCCCCGCCATAGCAGGGAAAGGAGGCCCACTCAGGAGACCAAACTTCCGGAATGTACAAAGACGGTGTGGGAAAATTAGTGTTGGCAGAGATGAAGCCGCTGTGGAAGCCGCTGCCCTCTCGCTACCTCCCCACCCCAACCCCGCCCACAGGTTTCACATAATGAGAAATGCATTTCACAAATGCATTTCTCCCAAAAACGCATTTGAGGGGTATACCTGCTCCCCTTCAAGTCCTATGCTTGCCCCCACCCATCTGCCTGCACTCCCCACTCCCTGTCAGCAGCATCCATCATGTCAGAATGAAACAAATCAGGCAAATCACACTGTCCCATCAGGCCCCAGCTGCCTCCCTGCACCAGCTCCTGCCCGCCTATGCACTAAGGTCCTAGGAACACTGACCCTGGTGAGAAAACATTCATGACTCTGAAGATCCCCTATTCCTTGACTGGGGAAACGCATCCCAGTGAAGCTGGTATACACAGTCAGCTCTTCCTCCAAGTGCCCATCAAAGTGGGAGGCCAGAACTAGGCTGGAACGGGACGGGTGCCAAAGTGCGGGAGTGCTGACCTGAATCCGAGCTGGACCCAGTGAAAGGCCTCCCGTTCCTTGCTGACAGCAGCAGCATGTCCGAAACTCCGCTTACTGGTCTAGATAACTGGCTACTGTTGGATCAGACCAAAAACATCCATGTGTTTGATGACTTGCTCTCTCTTTTGCGAGCCGTCCTTTGTGTTTTCCGAACATTCCTATTATAATCTGGGTTGTTTTTCTGTTCTAGTGATCTCTCCGAAGGAGACCTATGACCCTGGGGTGACTTGGAGTCGTGAGAAGGGGGCGATCGAGGATCTGAGACTGCGGGGTGCAGTGTGGGTAGGCGCTGCTTATACTCCCCCAGTTCATCTGTGTAGAAAGAGGGGTAATGGTCTGAGGGTCCCTGGCCATGGTAGCCCATAGTGGGATGGTGATCAGACATTTGGCGTAAATCCGGCGGGTGTTAATTTTGAGGCCTACATTCATCGGATCTCCTCCGCTTGGAGTCATGATGGTGCCTGAAATAGAGATACAAGGATCAGCTGAAAGGCTGAAGTCAGATTCCCACCCCCTTCTCTCCACCACCCACTCGGTTCTTCCTCATACACTCATATACAAGGACACTTACAAACGGACTCAAAGACAGATGCTCACATTATGAGGAATCAAAAAAACTAACGTAATAACAGAGTCATTTTACACTTATTAGCAAAACATAATGAAATGACATAAGCCTCAAGTGACCAGTGACACAAGTATATACTTGAAACAATCACTGATGGCTTTGCACACGGACTCTTTTAGGAAAAATCTGATTAAGACCCATAAACAGTTTCATAATTCTGAACCCAGCCCATGAGAAAAAGAGACACAGAAATTGTTTTGTAAGTTATTAGTAACAGCAAAACCACCATCAACTTAAATATGCCATGAGTAAGTGAATAGTTAGTAAAATTCTCTTAAAAATTAACTCAATTTGAAGAGTACTAAACTTTTTGGCTTGTACCATGGTAAACTGCTCATGATACCATTAAAAAAAGAATTAGTAAAACTCCACAACGAAGGCAAGCCAACTCAAAAACAGGCAAAGGATTTGAACAGACATTTCTCCAAAGAAGATATATAAAGATAAAATGAAAAGATATTCAATATCATTAATCATCAGGGAAATGCAAACCAAGCCCACAATGAGACTACTTCACACCCACAAAATGGCTCTATTCATTAAAAATAAAATAAAATAAAAAGAGGAAAGAAGTGTTGCCAAGATAAGGAAAACTGCAACTCCCATACATTGCTGGTAGGAACGTAAAATGGCTCAGCCGTACAGAATATGACTAACAACTCCCTCCTGGGTACATATCCAAAACTGAAAACAGGTGGTCAAGGGCTTACACACCAGGCTTCCCTGTAGCACTGCTCACAACGGCCATCAATAGATGAATGGATAAACAAAATGTGGTGTCACGAAATATCCTTCAGCCATAAAATGGAATGAGTACTGATGAATGAATGACCCTTAAAAACACTATGCTAAGTGAAAGACACCAGACACAAAAGGCCACATACTATTCGACTCTTTCTATATGAAATGTTCAGAATATGCAAATCCAGAGAGACAGAATGCAGACTCGGGGTTGCCAGAGGCCAGGGAGAGGGAATGATGGGGAAGGTTTATTTAATGGTTGGAGGGTTTTCTTTGAGTGATGAAGTGTTTGGGAACCAGAGAGAAGTGGCGGCTGCCCAACACTGTAAAGGCACTAAGGTCATTCAGTTGGTCACTTTAAACAGTTCCTTTTTATGTGATCTGAATTTCACCTCAATAAAAGAGAGGGACGAAGAACTGGGCAACTTCAAGTTTCAGTCAAAATGGAGTAACGGGGACGAGGTTGACCCTCCCACCCAAAATAGCCAAAAGGGACCAAATGTATAGAACAGTGGTTTTCAAGACACCAGATGTCAGGCAATGAAGAGCAGTAATCCCTGAGGAATGGACACTAATGAAATGAGACTTTTAACTGCCCCTGCAGCCAGAGAGAAAGGTTGGGTTACCCACAAAGGGAAGCCTATCAGACTTACAGCAGATCTCTCAGCAGAAACCCTGCAAGCCAGAAGAGAGTGGGGGCCAATATTCAATATCCTTAAAGAAAAGAACTTTCGGCCGGGCGCGGTGGCTCAAGCCTGTAATCCCAGCACTTTGGGAGGCCGAGGCGGGTGGATCACGAGGTCAAGAGATCGAGACCATCCTGGTCAACATGGTGAAACCCCGTCTCTACTAAAAATTACAAAAAATTAGCTGGGCATGGTGGCGCGTGCCTGTAATCCCAGCTACTCAGGAGGCTGAGGCAGGAGAATTGCCTGAACCCAGGGGGCGGAGGTTGCGGTGAGCCGAGATTGCGCCATTGCACTCCAGCCTGGGTAACAAGAGCGAAAACTCCGTCTAAAAAAAAAAAAAAAAAAAAGAAAAGAACTTTCAGCCCAGAATTTCATATCCAGCCAAACGAAGCTTCACAACTGAGGGAAAAAATCTTTTATGAACAAGCAAGAACTCAGAGATTTTATTACCACCAGGCCTGCTTTACAAAAGCTTCTGAAAGAAGCATTACACATAGAAAGGAACAACCAGTATTAGCCTTTCTAAAAATATACCAAAAAAGTAAAGAGCACCAACATAATGAAGAATTTACATCAACAAATGGACAAAACAGCCAGTTAACATCAAATGGCAGTAATCCTAAATTTAAATCAACTAAATCCCCCAATCAAATGATACAGCCAAAACCCAACGGTATTCTACATCCAGACCCATTTCACATGCAAGGATACACAAAGACTCAAAACAAAGGGATGGAGAAATATTTGCCAACCAAATGGAGAGCAAAAATAAATAATAAATAAATAAAAATCAGGAGTTGCAATTCTTGCATCTGATAAAATAGATTTTAAAGCAACAAAAATATGTAAAAGGATCAATGCAACAAGAAGAGCTAACGATCCTAACACCCAGATACATGAGACCTATAAAGAGACTTAGACTCCCTAGACTCCCACACAATAATAGTGGGAGACTTCAACATCAATATTAGGTAGATCAATGAGACAGAAAATTAATAAGGATATCCAGGACTTGAACTCAGATCCAGAACAAGTAAACTTAATAAACATTTATAGAGCTCTCCACTTTAAATACATAAAATACACATTTTTGTCAGTACCACATTGCACCTACTCATAGGTTTAAATGAAATATTGAACGGCCGTTATTAAGCATGATTATTGGCATAAAAGAGATTTCCAATACCCATTTTTAGAATAAAGCAACATTCCCGTTCTCGCTCCCATTTTTTCCTTTCTTCCTCTCCTTCACTCCTTTTTTCCCTTCTCTCAAAACAAAATATATATACACTCTATTTTTACTGTTATAAAAAATATACATACTCTCAAAATACTGTAATAAAAAATATACACACTTTATTGGCACTCTGTCATAAAAAATATACACACTCTAAAAATACTGTTATTAAAAATATATGCACTCTCAAAGCCTTGATTACAGTGGCATATTGGGAGTCGCTGGAAAATTAAGATTCAGTTGGTCAGAGTCCCTAACCTATTACAGACGCTCCCATACCTTTCCTTACTTAGTCCATGTGCTCCTATTAGAGACAGAGCCCTGAACGCAAAAAGACCTTGTGTGGCTCAGGGTGGAGAGGCTGATTAATGTGTCTGTGTTCTTTTCATTGGAGAAGACGGCTTCTCATCCCTTTGCAGAGAAAAAACAGAGATCATAAGTGATTACTTCTGTCTGTTTCGTGACTTTGCATCATCATGACTACCATTGTATAATGACAGCAAGACAAAACGATCTTTTTGGTTTCTCATTACGTTCTGAAACAAGATTCCAGAGTATAGTACGACACAAGGGGCATTATGGCTGCCCACCTGCTTCCCCAAGGAGAAACTGACAAGCAACTGTGGACCTGGGGCAGCGTAGCATGTGGGTATGCATAGGGAAGCAGAAGTGCTAACGGGAAATCTGACATCAGCAGGCAGAGTCTGTTCCCCTAGCAAAATTCACTAGGAGAACATATGTCCCTGAGCTGGGGCCTTGGCAGAAATGGGCAATTAGATAATTACTCATGGTGATGGCTGTGGGAGGGCGGGAGTTGACTCAGCTTTGAGGAAGCCGTTCTAAGGATACTAGTTCCTGTTTGGAGACAGTGGTCACTCTCCACCTGTCCCCAACTCTGTTTCTTTGCAAACCTCAAGCGCATTCTTCTAAACGTGTGCTTCACATTTGCCTGTGCATACAAATCACCCAGGGATCTTGTTTAAAACATGTATTCTGATTCAATAGGTCTGGGATGAGGTCTGAGAGTCTTCATTTCCAGGATCTTTCCAGGTGATCCCCTGGCTGCTTGGTTCTAGGAATCTACCTCAAATAGCAAGGTCAAAGACCTGTCTCCAGCATCATCATTGTCCAAAAAACTTTTTAGAAAGGCAAATTCTCAGGCCCCACCTCAACATCAGAAACTTACTTTAAAAAGCCCTCTAGGGGATGTTGATGTGTACTCAATTTTGAAGACCACTTTGTAGACTGTGCACGAACTATTCTCACTAGAAGGACAGATAAATATTCAGAAAAATAGTATTCCATTAGCATAGAACCTCAAGTTGGGAAGACCTGCCCAAAAGGTTACCCAAGCCTTCCTCCAGGAAAAACCTGGAGGGTTTCTATGGAAAAACCCTTCACTCAGGGGCTGGCTGGTAGAAGGTGCTGGTGTCCACACCTTTGTCAGAACTCTCCATAAAATGAGCAGCTAGATCACCCAGTCTGATGGAGCTTTCCCGCACTACCAGACCAATTTATTGCACGTAAATTATTCCTCAATCAAACAAGGGAAAAGGGAATTGGCTAAATTACTCCTCAACCTCCTTGAACTCACTTTGACTTACCGGAGTCATTTTTTGTCTAAGAGTCATCCATGTCCACCCTTCTTCACACAGTACTGTTTCCTGTGTCACCAACTGTTGTCCAGCCTTTATTAAGAGTGCACCACTATTGTCTCCAGAATTTTCTTCCATGCCTCTAGCAGCACCTGTTCTACAAGTTTTGATGTAAATGTTCAAGCAATGATGATCATATTACTTTTGCTGCTTACCTGACTATAAGATGCCTTCTGACTGCAGATATATTAAAATGTGAAAAAAATGTACATCTTAGAATGGAAATGTGATAGAAGGAAACAAAGTTTAAATCTGGTGAAATGAACCTTAGTGCCCACGATGGAGGCAGATATTTGACAGAGCAGTAACAGCACCTTTAAAATAAGACTTGTTTATAAGTAACAAGATACAGCTCCAGGGATCCCCAGAAATACTTGAGGAACGTTGCAGAAGTGGCTAATGTCCTCTGCAAGCATGTGGAGCAAAAGCCAGTGACATCTGAGTATTAATGTAATAATGATTCCTGTCTCTGTCCTCAGTTGACTTTATTCAGAATACATAAACATATAAAAATGTACTTAAAAGCCAGGAAAAATTCGACTAACATGTTAGCCTGGGTTATCACAAATCATCAAATCTGTATGTTCTATTTCACTGCAAATAACACATATTACCTTTGGGATATTTATAACACTAAAAGTAAAATGAGAGAAATATAAGATAACCCTTCTAAAATATAATTAAATGATTGGGCAATAGGCAGACTGAAAAAAAGGTCTCTAAATTTGGTAAGAAAGAAGTCACTGATGGGCTCAGGAAAGACATTTATAGTAAAGTACAAGGACTAGGAGCCATATTAAAGAGAAATGAGTGAAAATCAATTACTCTCAACAATATGTTTGAGGAATTTGGGGTCAAAGGGTAGTTGCATATTTCTTTTGAATCAGTCCATATCCAAAATCTAAGGCTTAGGCCTGCCCAACTAAACTGCCTCATGCTGATTTCTTTCTGTGCATCCCCTTCAATTTTTACCTTGTCATCTCTTTTTATCAGATTGTTTTCACAATCTGATAAAAGGTCAAGAGAGTCCTGTCACACACATGGCCCAGATACTCACTATCACACCCACTGACCATGTGGCCTTAACTGCTCTGACCATCCATTTTCCCTGTCCTGGCTCCTGCCACCTCTCCAGCAACCTCAACACCCCACTCTGAGTTCTTCCGGGAACATCATTCAGGCATTCACTCACTCATTCATTTTTTCAATCAGTGAATATAATTGGGCACCTGCTGTGAACCTGAGGTTGGAAAAGCATCAGTGAACACTGTATAACGTTATCTCTGTTTCTCCCGACAGCCTTGCTCAAGCAGTTCCTTGTGTCTGGAATGCTCTTCTCTGGTTAACTCCCACCAACCTTCAGGTACCATCTCTCCCAGGAAGGACACCTCCCCACCACTATCCCCCAGATGTGGCCAATAACTGAAGGCAGAGCTGTATAGTTTAACCACAGACCTGTAAGCAAGAAATAACTGCCACTGTAACCTGCTGAGAGTTGGGGGGCTATTTGTTACACAGCACCATTGCAGCAAAAGCTGACCAATACTAACAGGCAAGTATTAGCTTCAAGCTTCAGGACTGGGACATTGTGAATCAACACTTAGTGTTTTTAGCCAGGGTGTGCCAATGCTAAGCAGATGTTCTCAGAAGAGACAAAGTCTGAGATTGAGGGAGACCCGGGTGTGGGTCCCTGCTTTGTCATGCAGGGGTAGTAAAAAGCCTAATGATTAAAAAACACATTCTCTGGAATCAAGTTGCTTGCGTACAAATCCCAGTGCTGCCACTTATAAGCCACGTAACCTGGTACTAGTTCCTTAACTTTTGGGCCTCAGTTTCCTCATCTGTGAAATGGAAATGATTCAAGTACCAGTCTCATGGCGGCATTAAGTTGATTCAGTGAGCTAATGCATGTGATGTGCTATGAGTTGCTACTTTTCAGTCATTGTGGGTGAGCTTGGCTTGGCAACTTTACTTCCAGAACCTTGTCAGGTATCCAGCGCGCTTTGTGTTCTTCAGATTATTAGAAACTCTAGCTGGCATGTTATAGCTTTCCAGGCACCAAAACCTCCTTGTGCTGTCTCCACAGCAACTGCAAGCATAGACTCTGGAGTTGGACACACTCAAGTTCTAAGCTGGTGACCTTGGGCAACTGATTTAACTCTCTTTGCTCATCTATAAAATGACAGCAGTAACTTCACATGCCTCTGAGGGGACGGTGAGAACCAAATGAAATAGTGTATTTCTTACAGAAGCACTTAGCTCAGCCCCGGCTCATAGATGGTGTTATTGGCCCTTCTTGGAGAGAGGTGACCTACTGGAGAGCCGTCTGCTTCTGGGCATAAGCCTACAGGGGAGGTATGACCAGAGCAACCCACTCTTGCCAGCAGGACCCTTTGAGCCTTTCTGCCCAAGAGTGGCAAGAGCCAGGCACAGAGAATCAGCAAAGCCCACCTGGTACCTCCTTCTCCTCTATCTCCTAGCTGTCTGGCTTGATCCAGAAGACTCATGAGGGCCCACTTCTTGTGCAGAAGTTCCTGGTTGGAACCCATCTCTACAATGGCCCCATCTGCCAGCACCACGATCCAATAAGCCTGGGGCAGGACGTGGAGTGCGTGGGTCACAAGAGTCTGTGTCTGGGCAGGGAAGGGTTAGAAGTTAACGCACGTGTGGCCACGTTCCATGGCTCATGCCTGTAATCCCAGCACTTTGGGACGCCAAGGCAGGTGGATCACTTGAGGCCAGGAGTTCAAGACCAGTCAGGTCACCATGGCTAAGCCCTGTCTCTACTAAAAATACTAAAATGAGCTTGGTATGGTGGCATACACCTGTAGTCACAGCTACTTGGGAAATGGAGGCATAAGAATCACTTGAAACTGTGAGGCAGAGGTTGCAGTGAGCTGAAATTGCACTGCTGCATTCCATCCTAGGTGATGGAGCAAGACTCCATCAAAAAGAAAGGGTCGGGCGCGGTGGCTCACGCCTGTAATCCCAGCACTTTGGGAGGCTGAGGCAGGTGGATCACGAAGTCAAGAGATTGAGACCATCCTGGTCAACATGATGAAACCCCGTCTCCACTAAAAATACAAAAAAAAATTAGCTGGGCATGGTGGCGTGTGTCTGAAATCCCAGCTACTCGGGAGGCTGAGGCAGGAGAATTGCCTGAACCCAGGAGGTGGAGGTTGCGGTGAGCCGAGATTGCACCACTGCACTCCAGCCTGGGTAATAAGAGTGAAACTTTGTCTCAAAATAAAAAAAAAAAAAAAAGGAAGGAAGAAAGGGAAGGAGGAAGGGAGGAGAGAGGGAGAGAGAGGAAGAGGGAGGGATGGGAAGGGAAAGAGGAATGAAGAGAAGGGGAAAGAAAGAAAAGTTATACACCTGTGCTTGGCCAGCCTCCTGGAGCAGGGGGTAGGAGTGGGAGTATTGTCCCTGGACTCAGAGTTGGGAGAGCTCCCCTTCTTGTGCTCCTGCCATCTTTCTTGAAAATAGCATTTTCAAATAGAGAAACAGAGGGGACTCCTTCAGCCTATCTCAAGAAGATGAGTCCATCTGACCCAGGCCAATCATCCAAGGCAGAGCTGTAGTAGTTAAACCACAGACACATAAGCAAGAAACAGCAGCTGTTGTAAGCTGATGGAATCTGAGGGGTTGTTTGTTACGTAGCATCATCACAGCAAAAGCTGACCAATACAAAGAGAAAAATTGGACTCAAGTGGAAGGGGGCGGTGAGAGAATCTTGGGTTAGGACTGGATGCTAAGGGCATGCTCTACCTTTGCCCTGTGACCTCTGAAACATATTCCCAAACTTACTGTTCCCCGCCAGGAGTAGCCCGCCAGGCCCGATGACCTGGTTGAAGACATGCTGGCCAATGTGGGCATCCAAAGCCACCAGGGGGTCATCCAGCAGGTACACAACTGCCTTTCTGTACACAGGCTGGGTGAGGCTCATCTGCTGCTTCTGGCCCCTGAGAGATTCATGCCCTGTGGCCACAAAAGGAACAGCGTCCTGAGTCTGCATCTACAGAGTGAGACTGGGGAGCCCAGGCAGGAGCAGGTTAGGGTAGGTGTAGCTCCCCATGTCTGTCCCCTGGGCACATGCTCAGCTTCAAAGGCACTCACTCCCAAGCCAGCATCCCCTGCATCCTTACCAGCCTCACTTCTCCCCTTCCCAGCATGCTTCCTAAAGGAATTACCTGTGCTTCCCAAGCTACTCTGTCTCCTACTCACTCTCTGTAAACATTTGAGTCCAACTTCTGTTCCCTTTCTCCACTGAGACCACCTTTAATGAGGACAGCATTCATCTCCCTATTCCATGATCCAGTGGTAAGTTTTCAGTCCTTTTTTAAATTTTAATTGATTTATTTTATTTTTGTTGATATGTAATAGTTGCACCTATTTGAGGGGCACAGGTGATATTTTGAGACCTGTAGAGCAGTGGTCCCCAACCTTTTTGGCACCAGGCATCGGTTTTGTAGAATACAAATTCTCCATTGACCTGGGGGCCGGGGGTGGTTTCAGGATGTTTCAAGCACGTTACATTTACTGTGTACTTTACTTCTATTATTATTATTTATTGAGATGGAGTTTTGCTCTTGTCACCCAGGCTGGAGTGTAATGGCATGATCTTGGCTCACTGAAACCCCTGCCTGCTCGATTCAACCAATTCTCCTGCCTCAGCCTCCCAAGTAGCTGGGATTACAGGTGCCTGCCGCCACACCTGGCTGATTTTTTGTATTTTTAGTAGAGATCATGTTTCACCATGTTAGCCAGGCTGGTCTCGAACTCCTGACCTCAGGTTATCTGCCCACCTCACCCTCCCAAAGTGCTGGGATGATAGGCATGAGCCATGGTGCCTGGCCTGCTTCTATTAGTATTACATTGTAAAATATAATGAAATACTTACATAACACACCATAATGTGGAATCAGTGAGAGCCTCAGCTAGTTTTGCTGAAACTAGACGGTCCCTTTAGGGACAAAAAGAGACTGTGATAGATCATCAGGCATTAGATTTTCATAAGAAGCATGCAGCTGCAGGGGCATAGTGGCTCATGCCTGTAATTCCAGCACTTTAGGAGGCCAAAGCGGGTGGATCACGAGGTCAGGAATTTGATACCAGCTTGGCCAACATGGTGAAACCAGTCTTTACTAAAAAAATTCAAAACATAGCCATGCATGGTGGTATGTGTCTGTAATCCCAGCTACTCAGGAAACTGAGGCAGGAGAATGGTTTCAACCCGAAAAGCAGAGGTTGCTGAGAGCCAAGAATGTGCGACTGTGCTCCAGCCTGGCAAAGAACGAGGAGGAGGAGGAGGAGGAGGGGGAGGAGGGGGAGGGGGAAGAAGGAGGGGGAGGAGGAGGAGGGGGGGAGGAGGAGGGGGAGAAAGGAGAAAGGAGAAAGAAGAAAGGAGGAAGGGGGAAGGAGGAAGAAGGAAGAAGAAAGAAAAAAGAAAGAAGCAAGAAGCCGCGGCAGCAGAAGCAGAAGCAGAATGTAGCTGAGATCCCTCACAGTAGGGTTTTGCGCTCCTCTGAGACTCTAACACTGCCACTGATCTGGAGGTAGAGCTTAAGTGCCTCACACGCCTGCCTGCTGCTCACCTGCTGTGCTGCCTGTCCAGTTCCTAACAGGCCTCAGATTTGTGGCCGGGGGTGTGGGGGCCCCTGATGTAGACAGTATGTAATGATCATATCAGGGTAACTGAGGTAGTCATCACCTCAAATATTTATCTTTTGTATTGAGAACACGACAATCCTTGTCTTCTAGCTATCTTGAAATTTATAAATAAATTCTCATTCACTATGATTTCCCTTGTGTAATATTGATCACTATCACTTATTCCTTCTATCTAGGCCTTCTTGTCTTTCATGCATTCTTTTTTTAAATTATTGTTATTTATTTTTGAGACAGAGTCTCGCTCTTTCATCCATGCTGGAGTGCAGTGGCATAATCTTGACTCACTTCAACCTCCACCTCCTGGATTCAATCGATTCTCCTCCCTCAGCCTCCTGTGTAGCTGGGATTACAGGTGTGCCACCATGCCTGGCTAATTTTTGTATTTTTAGTAGAGATCGAGTTTCACCATGTTGGCCAGGCTGGTCTTGAACTCCTGACTTCAAGCAATCCGCCCACCTTGGCCTCCCAAAGGGCTGGGACTACAGGCAAGAGCCACCACACCCGGCCATTCATTTTTTTTTTTTTCTCTGTAATCTAGACTCAGATGACACATTCATTCATTCTTACATTAATTCATTCCACTAATAACTACTGCCTGGTTATCATATCCCCATCAGGGTTCTAGGCTTTGGGGAGACAGCAATGAACGAAACAAAGTTTCTGCTATCTGAATGGATCCATCATTCTAATGAGGGAGAGACAGGCAATCCACAAACAAACCAGTAACACAGACAGCACATCAGGTAAAAGTGCTATGAAGAATAAAAACTAAAGCAGGTGCAGCCAGGTGCGGTGGCTCACGCCTGTAATCTCAGCACCTTGGGAGGCCAAGGTGAGTGGATCACTTGAGGTTAGGAGTTCAAGATCAGCCTGGCCAACATGGTGAAACCCCATTTTTACTAAAAGTACAAAAATGATGGCACCTGCCTGTAATCCTAGCTACTCAGGAGGCTAAGGTGAGAGGATTGCTTGAACTTGGGAGGCAGAGGTTGCAGTGAGCCGAGATTGCACAACTGCACTCCAGCCTGGGGAACACAGCAAGACTCTGTCTCAAGAGAAAAAAGGAGAAGGAAAAGGAAAAGGAAGGGAAGGGGAAAAAGAGGAAAGGGGAAAAGGGGGAAGGGGAAGGGAAGGGAAGGCAGGTGTGGGTGTAAGGCACACTAGCATGAGCAGGGTTGTGGCGGTGGTGGTGGCGGATAAGGTAATCAGGGAAGGCTTCTCTGTGAATGTGATAGAAGTGAGGGATGAGCCCTTGGAACTCCTGGGGAGAGATTTCCAACAGTGGGAACAGCAGGTGCAAAGGCCCTGGGGACAGAGTGTGCTGCGGGGGATCAGGGAACATCACAGAGACTCTGGAGGCTGGAGTGAAGCCGGGAGATGACGATGGGAGATGGGAATGATGGATACCAGAGCAAGGTGACAGGGACCTTGCCAGGGATCATCACGACTTGGGCTTTGACTCAGGGAAATGGGAAGATGACCTGAGGTCAGGAGCTAGAGATGAGCCGGGCCAACATGGTGAAACACTGTCTCTACTAAAAATATAAAAATTAGCCAGGTGTGGTGGCATGCACCTATAATCCCAGCTACTCAGGAGGCTGAGGAGGGAGAATTTCTTGAATGTGGGAGGGGGAGGTTGCAGTGAGCCAAGATTGCACCACCGCACTCCAGCCTGTGCAACAGAGACTCCATTGCAAACACACACACACACACACACACAAAGTGGGGGTCACAGTTTGCGAGCTCCTGCCCAAGCCACAGCTCCAGATGCATATATCCTGCGTCTTGGACATCTCTGTCCAGACCCTTTGGTGAGGCCAAGAGGGGAAGCAATTAGATCGTCATCCAGCAAGGCAGGGCAGAGTAAGACAGGAGTCTAGTCGTCTCACTCTCGGTTGTCAGAGAGACCCTCACAGCCAATCCCTATCGCAACTCCTTGCCTCTTTGTGTCCATTTCTATTTATTGATTAATGATTATTTATTGAGCACCTTAGGCCGGGCGCGGTGGCTCATGCCTGTAATCCCAGCACTTTGGGAGGCCGAGGCGGGTGGACCACAAGGTCAAGAGATTGAGACCATCCTGGCCAACATGGTAAAACCCCGTCTCTACTAAAAATACAAAAAATTAGCTGGGCATGGTGGCGCGTGCCTGTAATCCCAGCTACTCGGGAGGCTGAGGCAGGAAAATCGCTTGAACCCAGGAGGCAGAGGTTGCGGTGAGCCAAGATTGCACCATTGCACTCCAGCCTGGGCAACAATAGCAAAACTCTGTCTCAAAAACAAAGAAAAAAATATATATATGTATTATGGGTTGTAAATATGATTTTGTTGAGTCTTTTATTCAGAAATATAGAACATATATACATAATATAGAATTTATTTATTATGAGTCATGTTAAAAAATAGTTTAGAAGCTGCTGATTTGTTTCCTCTTCAAATTTTTCAGGATAATTTGGTTTTTTTTTTTTTTTTTGACAGAGTCTTGCTCTGTGCCCAGGTTGGAGTGCAATAGCACAATCTCAGCTAACAACCTCCGCCTCCTGGGTCCAAGCAACTCTCCTGTCTCTGCATCCTGACTAGCTGAGACTACAGGCATACACCACCATGCCTGGCTAAGTTCTGTATTTTTAGTAGAGACAAGGTTTCACCATACTGGTCAGGCTGGTCTTGAACTCCTAACCTCAAGTGATCCACCCACCTCTGCCTCCCAACATGCTGGGATTACAGGCATGAGCCACCACACCCAGCCTAAATTTTGCAGGATAGTAAGTAACCTTTAGGCAAAGCTCAGTGGCTCACCCCTGTAATCACAGACCTTTGGAGGACAAGGCAGGAGGATTGCCTGAGGTCAGGAATTCAATACCAGCTTGATTAACATGGCATACACCTGTCTCTACTAAAAATACAAAAACTAGCCAGGTGTGGTGTCACATGCTTATAGCTCCAGCTACTCGGGAGGCTGAGACAGGAGAATTGCTTGGATTCAGGAGGCAGAGGTTGTGGTGAGCCAAGATCACACCATTGCACTCCAGCCTGAGCAAGAGAGCAAGACTCTGTCTCAAATAAATAAATAAATCACCTTTGTAAGTATCGTCGGTCACTTGTCTGGATGTTTTTCTTTAGGTTAACATGCAGTAGTGATTCTTTCTGAGTTTCTGACACAAGATAGCAGTTTTTAATGGAAATAAGTCAACTACTCCTCCCCATCCCTAAGATACTGGTATGGAAGGAAAAAGCTAGAACTGTGACTGCCTACACTTCCCCCAGCATGGCCCCCTGTGAGACGTGGGGCGGCCGAGGCCAGGAACTGTTCGAGGATGCCAGGCCCCGTCTGTGTGCACTCACTCACCTTCCTCGGGTCCTCGCATGGGGGATGGCACTGACTTTACGTGCTGCTGCTACAGCTCCTTGGTGAGCTGGCCCTGATCATGGGACAGGAACTGTGGGGTCAGGACAACGGAGGGCTTCACCACCTGCAGAAAGGGAACAGAGCTCATGGTGAGTGCCAACCTATTAGACAACTGTTTTTTTAAACGTTTCTTGAATTAGTGGAAAGACAAGGTGATGCTTGAGTCTATGGTGGTCAGGAGCATGGGGGCCTCAGAAAAGGTCAGAACCAAGTTCAAACTCCTGTACTTCGGATTTCTACTTCATGCCATGCAAAATTACTTTACCCTCTTCACCTCGGTTTCCTTCTGTGCGAAATGGAAACAATAAATTTCATTCCTCATTCAGTTTCTGTCAAGGATTCATGAGATGATACCTCTAAAACATCCAACTCATTTAGATGTGTCATCATTTCCGTCAGAACCAGTGGGATCAATTTCACTATCATTGTATATACAGTTCTGTGCCAAAACCTACAAAAAAAAAAAAAAAGAAAATCTCACCTTTAAAAAGCGTCAGTGATTTGTCGTTTTTATATTATTAATCATAACCGTATTTAATCACACAAGGCCTTGTGCACGGCAGGTGCTCAATAAACACTTCGGGAATCAATGCATGTGGGCTCCGCAGCCACACTGTTTAGGTCCGATTCGGCCTCCACCACTTACGAGCTGAGTGATCTGAGCAAGATAATTCACCTCTTTATGTCTGTTTCCTTCGCTATAAAATACAGATACAAAGAATCCCTAGCTCCTTACGTTGTTGCCAGGGACGAATAATTTGGCACATGGTAGGGGCTTTTTAAACATTAGCTGTGATGATCTCCTTCCAAATCTGCCTTTTCAGAGCCACAGATGAGGCCACAGTGCCACCTGGCGACCCTAGAGTGTAAGGACACCTGATCGCCAATAGGCTCTCTCTCCACCACAGGTCGGAGACTGGCTAGTTGCCGCCTGGAGGTTTCTGCTGCATCTGCCTTCTCAGGGCTCACGTTAACGACTTTTGTATTTTCCTCCTCGCATTCCTGCAGATGGGGTTCAGGTTGCCTGACACAGCTGGGTGATTCCCAAGGCACGTCCTGGTCCTGCTGGCAGGGGAGCTGCAGGGGTCTGGTCTCTCAGGTAGAGCCAGTGAACACAAGGCTCCCACTGTGCCATGGCTGCCACACTGTGCCCTGCTCATCTTCCCCCCAACCACCGCAGTTGTAAGAGGCGACCCTAGAGCACGGAACCCTGCTGCCTCCCCACCGAAGCTCCCCTAGGCATGTGCAAGACTCCAAGTCTTCCCTACGGTCCCCTCTAAGCACCCCAGCACCCCGTTTCCGATACCCTGTGCTGCTTTAGTCCCCAACCCTAGGGCCGCACTCCAGGCCATTCCCTCCTTGCTGTCCTGAATGGAGAGGACCCTGACCTCCGTGGGGCCCTGGGGAGCACACACACACATCCCCAGGGGAACCAGTCGTTGCCCCCACAGCATGAGAAATTCCCTGGAGACCCTGGAAGGTCGTGCCAGAGACTCCGGGGTCACCTTCGGCCCTCTGACCCTATTGTCGAGTCCCAGGCAGATCTAAGCCATGGGAGATACACAGGGTGCCTTGTCTGGGCAGAGCGGGGGATCAGGTGCCTCCTTCCCTGAGCGATTTGCCCTCCTTCATCCTTGTGGCTGGATTAAATGAAGCCGTGCCCAAAGTGGGGGGTAAAGGACAGGGGACCTAGGGGGTAAGGAGAGCCCATCATCCTGCTGCCTTGAGGGCCTGAGCTGAGACCCTAAGAAGGGGCTGGGGGAAGCCGAATCCTGAGCTGCACTAGGTTAGACACAGTGTCGACTTGGCCTCTCCACACTCTGCCCCCACCAAACACTCACAAATCCCCAGGGCCAGAGCTGCCAGTGGGGGCTGCTCCTGGTAGGGCAGCTTTGTAGCCACAGGGCCAAATGAAGGGGCAAAGGCAGAGCTGGGGCGGGCCAGCGAGGTTCGTGACCCCCTCCCCACTTAGGTGAGCATACCTTCACTGCTTACTTTCCACCTGGATAGACATTCTGCTTACCTGGCCAGCACAAAGTTCATCCAGCCTCCTGTGGCCCAGCCTTTCTCCAATGCCAATGGTGGGAAGCAACAATTACGAAGCAATGATTCTTCTTACGAAGAAGATACGTTCAGACATCTTCTTGCCTGACCGTTATGTGGTCACATCCCATAGGAAACCAGACAGCTGTGCCTGAAGCTGATCCACACAACCCCCTTCACCTCCTCCAACCCCCACCCTCATCTGTGTGAATGTGTGCAGGTGGGCAAGTTGCAAGCTGTTCCTTCAACAGCCTCCCTTGAGATCTTCCTTGGGCAGGCTCTGGGCCAGTCACTGGAAATTAAACCCCATCCCACCACCTGGGAGTGAGCGGCTGATGTTCACAGTCCACAGGATGAAAGGTACAGGCCTAGGGCCGGAACAGTGGCTCCCCGACCAGTAATCCCGATGCTTTGGAAGCTGAAGCGGGAGGTTCTCTTGAGCCCAGCAGTTCAAGTGTGCAGTGAGCTATGATCAAGCCACTTGCACTCCAGCCTTGGTGACAGAACAAGACCCTATCTCTTTAAAAAAATGAAATAAATTAAACATATTTAAAAATAAAGGTAGAGGTCTGCCCCCAGCCTCACTCAGGACCTAAATCTGGTAGGCTTGAACCAACTGCCAGTATACAGAGAATTTTTAAAGAATCACTAGGACAAATAGCTAATGCATACTGGACTTAAAACCTAGATGACGGGTTGGTACATGCAGCAAACCACCATGGCGCACATATCCGCCATGTAACCAACCTGCACGTTCTATACTTTTATCCAGGAATTTAAAGTAAAATTTTAAATAAAAAAAAGAATCAGGCTGGGCAAGGTGGCTCACACCTGTAATCCCAGCACTTTTAGAGGCCGAGGCAGGCAGATCACGAGATCAGGAATTCGAGACCAACCTGGCCAATGTGGTGAAACCTCGTCTCTACTAAAATACAAAAATGAGCTGTGCGTGGTGGCAGGTGCCTGTAATCCCAATTACTCAGGAGGCTGAGGAAGGAGAACTGCTCGAACCCGGGAGGCGGAGGTTTCAGTGAGCCGGGTTCACACCACTGCACTCCAGCCTGGGCAGCAGAGTGAGACTCAACCTTGGAAAAAAAAAAAGGAGCGGGGAGATACAAGACAGTTGCTTCCTGTCTTTCTTGCTCTCTGCCATGTGAGGATACAAGAAGATGGCCCTCTGTGAAACAGGAGGTGGCCCTCCCCAAGAACCAAAGATGCTGATACCCCGATCTTGGCCATCTAGCCTCCAAGGGGGAAATCACTGTTTGTTGTTTAAGCCACCCAGTCTATATGGCATTTTGTCAGAGCAGCCCAAACTAAGACACTGCCCCAATCATGATGATATCCCCCTACGTTTACTTCTAAATGCTTTCAAAATTTTTTGTTTTGAGACAAAGTCTCAGTCTGTCACCCAGGCTGCAGTGCAGTGGCATAATCTTGGCTCACTGCAACCTCCACTTCCAACTTCAAGAGATTCTCCCACCTCACCCTCCCAAGTAGCTGGGACTACAGGCACAAGCCACCGCGCTCGGCTAATTTTTTGTATTTTTAGTAGAGATGGGGTTTCACCATATTGGCCAGGCTGCTCTCAGCTCCTGACCTCATGATCCACCCACCTCAGCCTCCCAAAGTGCTGGGATTACAGGCGTGAGCCACCTCGCCCCGCCCACTTTCAAAGTTTTGCCTTTCACAACTAGATCTTTAATCAACTGTCTTTTGTTTTTGACGTGATGTGAACTAGGGATCTAGTCGGGTTTACTTTGCTTATGGATTGTGCAGACACCATTTGTAGAATATTCTGTCCTTTCCCCAATAATCTACAAGGCGACTTCTGTCTCATGTGACGTTTCCATGTGTCATGGGTCTTTTGCTGGGTTCCTCCTCGCTTCCAGTGGCTGATTTGTGCAGCCCCGAACACTTCACTGTCCTAAGTCCTTTGCCATCATAGTATGCACATAAATCTTCAACCTTCCATTACCCAACAACCGCTATGACATTCTTATTCTTTGAAAACGTCTTCATTTAAGTTCTGCTGGAAGCACAGCCTGAGTCAAGGGTTCAGATACAAGCATTTTTCAAAAAGGTGCTTCCAAGAAGCACAGGTAAGAGGGTGGAAAGTGAGATAGGGAAGGGAAGAAAGCCAACAGATGGTGCATTTATGAGCAGGTTGCCACAAAGGGTAACGGGCTCAAACTCACTAGGCCCTTCAAAGATATCGCAGCTGAGGGGCGGGGAAGCTGCAGTATTTAACCACCAACTCCCGTTCCTCATGGCTGTTTTAAAATGGACACGAGATTTACTTTAATCGGATATACTAAGACGCAGAGACATGGAAATGACTGTCCTAAAGGAAGGAGTTTTTGATACTCAGAGGTGGAGCAGTCTCTCCAGGATCAGCAAGGCCCCCGCTGTCAACGCATCAGGAAATACAGCAAATGAAAAGGCACGATGAATACACTGAGGGTGCTCTTGAAGGCATCAGCCCCTGGCATGCCTGTGGCTGGCAATACCAAGGGCCATGGGCACAGCACCAACAGTGTCTACTGCACTTTTCTTTTTTTTTTTTTTCAAGACAAAATCATGCTCAGTCACCCAAGCTGTAGTTCATTGGCAGGATCTTGGCTCACAGCACCCTCTGCCACCCAGGATAAAGGAATTCTCCTGCCTCAGCTTCCCTAGTAGCTCGGACTACAGGCATGCGCCACCACACCCAGCCAATTTTTTTGTATTTTAGTAGAGATGAGGTTTCATTATGTTGGCCAGGACGGTCTCAATCTCTTCACCTTGTGATCTGCCTGCCTCGGCCTCCCAAAGCCCTGGGATTACAGGCATAAGCGACCGAAGGAGTCTCATTCTGTCACCGAGGCTGAAATGCAATGGCCCAATCTTGGCTCACTATCCCCTCCACCGCTATCAGGTTTCCTGTCTCAGCCTTTCAGGTAGCTGGGACTACAGGCACACGCCACCATGCCTGCCTAATTTTTGTATTTTTTGTAGAGATGGGATTTCACTACGTAGGCCAGGCTGGTCTCCAACTGCTGACCTCAGGTGATCGCCCACCTCAGCCTCCCAAAGTTCGGGGATTACAGTGTGAGGCACCGCGCCCAGCCAGCTACACTATTCTTGGCCCCTCAATGACTACATTCAGATCAGCCTGTCAAGTTCCAAAAACAACTCTATTGGGATTTGTCTGGGAATTGCTTGAATCTATAGATTAATTATAGATAGTGAGAAGTAATATGTTTATAGCATCGAGTCCTACCATTTATAATATATATGGCATATATTTCCATTCTTCCTTTAAGTCCATGGGTAATTTTTATATTTGTCTTAGTCTTTTTGTAGGGCAAAACACCTGAGACTGGGTAATTTACAAACAACAGAAGTTATTCTCTCAGTGCTGGAGGG